CCTAGCCAAGCCTTGTCAGAATTCTGACCAGAGGAGCTGTCAGATAGCAAACAGGTATTATTTGAAGCCATTTGGTTTACAGTAATTTGCTGTGGCAACAACAGAAAACATACATGAGACAAGCCTGGCTCCTGTCCCATCATGTGGCCTCTCAGCACCTCAAATGCACCTCCAGGTCCCAACCAAAGTACTTTCTCCAGTCAGGCTGCTCTCCTCCCTGTATCCCCACACATGATGCTTTCCTTTTTCTCACCACACACAGTCTGCATTTCCCTTAGGCCTTCCCCCATCCCTGCCTTCCACAAACCAGTGGAGCGAGCCCTGGCCACTTTCCAGCTAGAACTTGATTATGTCCTGCCTTACTTAGCACTAAGTGCTTCTAATCTTTCTTCTAACTCCTGAAGGATGAAGACCTTGTCCTGTGCCTCCTTTGCAGCTCCATAACACCTATCATTACATGTATTGGGACCCTGATAAATACTCAGAGAAGCACTGATTCAATCCATCCAGCTAAACCATGCAAGATCTTCACCCATGCAGCCTGCATGCAGGACACACTCACAGAGAGGAGGCAAGGCTTCAAGTACTTCTAGCTGAAACAACCCCTTGGATTTTTACTGGGGTTTGCAGTTTTTCAAGCATTCCCAAATACATTATCTCATGTAATTTCTACAAAAAAACCATGAGATAAACAAGGCAGGTATTTTTTAATTCCCAGTTTTTATAGTTGAGAACACAGAGCCTCCAAAAAGTTCAGAGATTTGCCTAGCTAGCAAATCTGCCTCATGATAAATCCTGCCACACTGTGATGCTGTCACAGTGTGGGGCAGAGATGCTGCTCTGAAGATCTGGGAAAGAGCTGGGAGAGAAACAGCACGGCAGAGCCCTGAGCTCTGGGAAGCACCACTGCCGTGAAATCAGACTGTCGCAAGGTTTCCAGGCAGTATGATGTAAGCGGTTTAACCATGTCTGTTTCTCCACTGCTTCCCCAGGCTTCCTCTTCCTCTTTCTCCATGTTTTCTTACAGGAAAAGTTCTTCTGTTTAATTTTAAAGCTAACAACGTCTGGGTCTAAAGCATTCCTGCTCTAGGGAAAAAAACCCCCAAACTCTAATTCCAACAGTATGATCATTAAGATACAGATGTGAATACCTTCCCTGGGGCACGATGAGATGGCCAGAGCACTGGCCCTACGTTAGAGGAGCTGGTTTATGGCCCCGGCTCCACCTCTACTCAGGCTTTGCAGAAACCACTGCCCTTGATTCGTCCACTCAGAGAGCAAGAGCCTGTTTCACACCTATGTTTGTTGTGAGCATGAAGTGAAATGGCAAATCTAAGTCTTTTGACAACTATACAGGGCTATACACATTTTAAATGTCAAATTCCTCACCTCAACCACTATCACCCCAATTACTAGCACTAAGGCAAATCTGCCTGCTCCACCAATAAATATCCCAGGCTCCTGGCTGTGCTCTCAGGATGTACTGTTTTCTTCCGGTGATGCTGGCTGTGGCATTCATTTAGGCTGATTTCACCTTATTCAAAATACTACTGGTAAACAGGGAGGACAATGAAGGAGTAAGTGTTGAATTTACCCGAAGTCTTACACAGACCCAGAGGGGTCCCTGACTATGTTTGCCTTGACCCTTTCATAGGATAATCAGAGCAGAGCTAAAAAACACTAGCTGACACAAATGCAGAAATACCATCTACTCTGATGCCTCAGTACAAATACAAGGGGTCACTATTAACCAGAAGAACTGCTTCCCATAACTAACTGACTCTACAGAAGAGCTTCTACAGTGCTGAATGCACATCAATATCTGGGCTGCATTTAACTTTCCCCTACTCTCCATAGCCCTTTGGAGAGTTTAGATCAGATTAGTAAGGGGTGCTTTCAGATTCAGGTCTGGAGTTCTCTGGTGATGATCTGTCATATGGAAATTTATTACGAAGCTAACAAGGCCATTTTACTTTAGTAAATCTGTAGTTGGTTTTCCGTGAATATTTTTCATAATTCTGGAAGACTGAGTGCTCTTTAAACCTGTCCGTGGTTATTCAGATAAGCTTCATGATCACTAACGTCAATAAAAACTGCCTGACAATTTTTCTTTTTATAATAAATTTTAGGCCATGTGTAGACAATGAAAGGTTAAAGACATGACAATATCTTTCTAGATATTATAGTTAAAATAAATTATGGATGAAATGTGGACCTCTTTACTGTGCAAGCCTCAGTTGCATTTTGGAAACATATTGGATGACTCCCAAAGCTCTAGTCTTGGTTTCTCACCAGAGTTCTTGTCGAAAGGTACAGATCTGGGGAATACAACGAATTCTGTTTAAACACACCAGGGTTGTGATGAGAATGAAAGCAGATAAACAAAAAGGAGAGCTTTCTAACTGATTTTTGGGCAAACCACTTATCTCTTTGAGTATTAGTCTCCATCTGTACAAAAGAAATACTTGCACTGTCTATTTCACAGGAGTATTATGAAATGAAATGACCATATGAGAGAAAGTTTTGCAAACTGTCAAATTGTATACACTTTATTATTATGTATAAAATCAACTTATATCTATTGCTACCACTCAAGTGGCATGCAGAATCCTTGATATCTCTAAACTAGACTCTCTTCTTTTAAAACTAGCTTCTCCTCCAGATGTTCCTGTTTATGCTGATAGCACCTCCATTATCCCAGGCATCTAAGCTTAGAAACTTGGGGTGTGCTAGAAAGCTTGCTCCTCCACCCACTCTGATCCATGAATAATCAGTTCAAATTTAAAAATTTCAAAAGATAAATCTGACCAGGTCAAACTCTTGCTCAAAAATTTTTGACAATAACCAGTTGTGCTTGAACAAAGGGGCCAAAACACAAAGTTGTCCCCAAGACCCTGTCCTGTCTGGCCTTGCCCACCCTCTCACTCAATCTTATGCTCTCCTCTGTCCCTTCCGCACTCCAGCCACACAGCCTTCTTTGGGCTCTCCAAAGCCCCCTGTTCTTCTAGCTCCACAAACCTTTGTCCATGTTGTCCCTTTGCTGGAACCGCCAGCCCTGCTCATCCTCTGTGATCATCTCCAGCTCCATGTCCTCTGCAAAGCCACCTGTACTTCCTGCCATTGCTCAAGTTCTAGTGTAATGGGGGTGCACAGAAACATATCCTTTTCTTGAGGTCACTTATTATCTTTTGAAATGACGGGTTATATGAAGTCTCTTGTTGCTTTCTCAACTATAAAGTTCATTTAGCAGTTCATTCCTTCAACTTATTCTGAAGTTCAGCAGTGATTCTGTTTTTACTCCTACGTTATAATCTCAATGCGTAGCACATAATGGGTACTTTTTAAATGAATGAGTAAATCAGTCAATGTTGAGATCTTCTCCTCTCACTGTGTGTGTGTATTACATATATATGTGTGTGTATAAAATATAATCCCTATAATATTTATGATATAGTAAAACAATAATAGCCACGGTACTTAACTTCTATTTTAATCTTTTGTTCTTTTGAAAAAAAATTTTTCTAGGAAAGTACTGTAATTCAAACACAAAGATTAGCATGTGTACTCAATGCTTTGGAAAGAGGTTTTTGGCTCTTGCTATTGTTGTTCTTCATTTTAGGGGTGCTAGAAAAGGAGTCTGCTGTTTGGAGGGAGTTTGGTATTAAATGTGGAATACAAAGCAGCCCTGGGAGAGCTTGCATGCTTCACTGAACATGTGAGGAAAGGACACAGGTCTGACCTTGGGATATAAACCAAATTTTAGAATTTTGTACCCCTAAATATTCTGAGCCTCATATTTGCAGCCCTTTATAAAGCTTCTTCACATTCCTCATATTAATAAGACAATCAAATGCAATAGTTAAGGAATGACCTAGGGGTCCTCCAGACCTCTGTTTGAATCCTGGTTCAGTCTTTTGTCAACTGTAAGATCTGGGGCAGACTGAATAACCATAGCTAACCTCAGTTTTCTTACCTGTAAAACGGACAAGTACAGAAACAGTCCCTAGGTCATAAAGTCATTGTGAGAATGAAGTGAGACATTCAGCAGTGTGCTTTGCCACATCATAAGCCCGTGAAGTAGGCAGGACAGATAACCGTAGCCCCGTGTAACTCCTCAAATAGGTCAAGAGCACACACAACTAGTGTCACAAAGCTGGGGGCCTGAACAGAAGTCAAACAGTTGCAAATCCCCTGTTAATTCTCAGTTTAATTAAATTCCTGGCAGAAGAAGGTACTTCATAATATAGTTTTATTATTCTTCCAAACTATAATCTAAGCAGCAAATGATATCTGAGCTCTTTAAGCCAACTGAAACACGAGAGAATTCATACCAATTCTGATTATAAAATTCTATGGTGTTGAGGAAATAATGGTCCCCACAGTCACAGGCAAAATCTATGAAGCCAAAGAGGCACTGAGGTGTAGTCCTCAACAAAACAGGGAAGATGCCATAGAACATAATCTACACCACAAAGATGCCAGAGCTCTAGGGCTGGGGTCAGTCGGCGGCAGTCTGGGTCCCAAAGCAGGCCCTGTCCTGGTAAGTCGGCGGCAGTCTGGGTGCCAAAGCGGGCCCTGTCCTGGTAAGTAAGGCTTTGCTGCCACACCTGTTCATTTGCGTACAGTTGTGACAGAGAGAGTGTGGTCCACAAAGCCTCAAGTCTTTGCCAACTGGCCCTTCACACAAAAAAGTTGCCGACCTCTGTTATAGAAGACATATAACAGGGAAAAATAAACCCTGAAAAAATCTTAAAATGCAAACTTTATTCCTAGAGTTCTTTCGTCACACCTTCAGTCCCATGAAAAAAACCCTTTTTTGTGAAGTAGCAGGTGAGCCAAATTTCCCAAAATGAAATGAACATCAGGGCCTTCAAGTTGGGAGGGACTTTTCCCAGAAAAGTTTGTGATCCTGATGTTCGACTACATTCATCTCAGTGGTCCCACTATCTTTAACTCCCCTGGTTATGAAATTCTGCATTTTATACATATGAAAGACTCACTGGAATTTTCTCTTCTTCAAGGAGTGGTGCTGGTCTAGAGCCTTTCCCCAATTCTTCCTCTTCTGTTGCTTTCTTATAGATATTCTGAGTCTCCTGGGTAGCTGGTGCTTGCAGATCATAATATCGTGATTTCGTTTTCAAGCTATTGGCGAATTCTTTGGACTGAGTTTTTCTGAAGAGAAACAAATGTGGAATTATCAAAAACATTCTCCAACATGGATAGCTTTTCTAAAGCAGATGTCTACATTCAAATTATGTGAAAAACAGTAACAGATACCATTTACTGAGTGCTTATAATACGCTAAGCCCTTTGCTAGTATTTAAAGCCATTAACTTAGGGGCACCTGGGTGACTCAGTTGGTTAAGCATCTCACTCTTGATTTCGACTCTGGTTGTGAGATTGAGCCCAGCATTGGGCTCCGTGCTCAGTGTGGAGACTGCTTATCCCTCTCCCTCCACCCCCCGCCCCCCTACTTTTGTGTGTGTGTGTGTGTGTGTGTGCGCACGCGCACATGTGTGCATGCGCGGTCTCTCTCAAATAAATAAATAAAATCTTTAAAAAAAAAAAGACATTAACTTAATCCTCATAACAACCCTATAAGGAAGGGCTTGTTATCCTTGCTTAATTGCAAGAGGCTCAAAATAATTATATTATTTATCCAAGGCCACATTGTGGCACAGCCAGGATTTGAACCCAGGTCTGCCCAACTCCTGTTCAGAAGCTAAACTGCTAGATCACACTGCCTTCCTATGATGGGCAGCATACAATTCCTTTATCTCTGTATGCCCGTTTTTTGTTTTAGTTACAGGAGTTGGTGGGCAGCATCAGCAGCCCTTGGGACATGAACCAAGGTCCATATGTCTGCTTCTATCTCATCAGCTCAGATCGGGCTGTCAATACTCAAGGGATAACAGTCTTCACAGAAGTCACCCTGGGCCCCCAGCAGAGGGGATCCATCATCTGCCTCACTGCTACCAGCCAAGTAACCTTCCTATATCTCCAGTTGACTGTGTCACTTCCTTATTCAAACACCTCTACTGTCCACAGAACAAGGTCCAAAGTCCTAAATCTGGCTTTCAAGGCACTTCAGAGCATGGCCCCCTGTCTCCTGCTACTTGCCCACGTATACCCCAAACAGTCAGAAGAAGTCATTGTCACCGAAAGAACCAGACATATTCAAAACTAGGGGTCTTGATTATGCCCTCTGCCTGCAATTTCCTTCCTGACATTCTGCAGCTGGAAAACTCTACTTATCTTTCAAGGTTCAATTCAGATTTTCACCTCTTTTGTGGATCGGAATAATGGGCTGTTTATAACTTAGTTGTAGCACGTATCACAGCCTGTATTGGCTGAAGTTAGTTGTGTACCTGCCTGTTTCTCCTCCTACTGGAAGCTTCTTGTTCATCTTTGAGTTCCCACCACCTAGCATAGTGTAAGCACCTAGAGGGCCTGCTTACTCAGCTGCCCACCTCTAAACAATCTTGTTTGAAGACCTGAAGCTTGAACAGCCGCTCCATTTCTCACTTATATTCCTGATGCTCAGCTGTGTCAGCTTTTGTGCTCTGGCATGATTCTAGTGAAGCCAGTGATCATGTGGGAAACCACATCCAGATCAAAACTCGGATGACAAGCCAGGAAGTGAAACAGCTGATCTGATCGCATTGTGGGAAGGCAGGGAACCACCAAAAGTGTAAAGAAACTTGCCAGAGAGATCTATAGTGACTTTTGTGACTCTCAGATCCCACCCCACTCTCCCTCCAGATACTCTGAAAAGGAGGCATCTTTGCATCATTTTATAATCTGGCCAGCCTCTCACGGGTTTGTAGATCTCATACCTGAGCTCTTCCGCTTCCCGCTCTGCTTTCAGCTGGGCCCTCTCAGCAATAATTTCATTACAGATCACATCGTATGGTTTGTCTAGATGGTGTTCGCCCATCACCCAGACCCAGACTTCCTTATCGGCTCCCAGTTTCCAATGAACAGATTTGCTGTTCTCTGCAAGCAAAATAAAATTTGGATTGGACAAATATCTTTAGTCGTGGGTTATTATGTTTGCCATCATTAAAGTATTTAGGGTCTTTAGGAAAAAAAATGTTAGATGAGACAAAGCACTTCCAATCTCCTCAGGAAAAAGCAGCAGTCCCAAGGAGCAATGGAGGTGGTAGCAGTGGGGGGTGGCCACAGCAGTGTTTGTTTTAAAATATGAATATGGGTCTCCTGGGTGGCTCAGTTGGTTGAGTAGAGTCTGCCTTCAGCTCAGGTCATGATCCCAGGGTCCTGGGATTGATCCCTGTGTGGGGCTCCCTGCTCAGTGAGGAGTCTGCTTCTCCCTTTCCCTTTGCTCCTTCCCCCGATCATGCACTCTCACTTTCTTCCCCATGCTTTCGCTCTCTCAAATAAATAAAATCTTTAAAAATATATATTTTTGAATGTGTCCATTTTGTAACTAAAGAAGGCAAGATGGGGAGAAAGCATGCAGTTTGTGGTACTATCAGCTATCAGAATCTCTAAGGTCTGAAAATCTTCTGGAACCCCAGAAGTACACAGCTGCTCCAGGGTTTGGTACTTCCATTTTAGAATTAGACTGGCTTTAGTTTAAATCCTAGCCCTGCCACTTACTAGCTGTGTGACTTGGACAGATTATTTAATCTCTCTGAGCCTCAATTTCCTCATCTGCAAAATGGGAATACAACCATCTACAATGCAGGACTGCCATGGGGAGCAGGCTATGCCAGCTATTTCCCCCAGTGCCTGCCACATAATAGGAGTTCATGAGAGGTTAAGTGCTACTGTTGCCCTATTGTTTACTTCTAGGGCTGCTCGGAGATTCACACCAGCTTGTGAGAAGATAATACTACTGGTAGTGTGATACTTGGTGAAGCTACTTAAATGACCCTTGTTTACAATTGGTTGCAGGGGTTGTATTACATTCTAGTTCCTGGACTTCTGAGATGCAGCCACACAGGTCATGCTCCCTGAACCCCAGGGGAATGTGGAACACACCCAGGAGAGGCCAAGAGGTGCAGTCCCTAAATCGAAAAGCCCCCAGGCAGCCCTACCGAGGGCCATTATGGTCCATGTTGTGGTCAAGATCCCTGGGCCTTACAGACCCTAAACTGGCCAGTGGTGTTGAGTGTGGGTAGGAGGGCACCTGATGTAACACAGGTGTTTAGAGTTTAGAAATCCACACTGGGAGTGTGTCCAGTCTTTGTACCTTAAGTAGAAGGTTTCCAATTAAAGCATCTTCTGTCCAGTGAATTGTTGACCTACTTCCTACTGTTGCCTCAGGATACATTAAAAAAGCAGGCTGCTCGACATATTCAGAACATTCCATCCCAAAGCAACGGAATGCACATTCTTCTCTAGTGCCCATGGAACATTCTCCAGAATAGATCACATCCTAGGTCATAAATCAGGTCTCAACCGGTACCAGAAGATTGGGATCATTCCCTGCCTATTTTCAGACCATAATGCTTTGAAACTAGAACTCAATCACAAGAGGAAAGTTGGAAAGAACTCTAATACATGGAGGCTAAAGAGCATCCTACTGAAGAATGAATGGGTCAACCAGGAAATTAAAGAAGAATTAAAAAAATTCATGGAAACCAACGAAAATGAAAACACAACTATTCAAAATCTTTGGGATGCAGCAAAGGCAGTCCTAAGAGGAAAGTATATAGCAATACAAGCCTTTCTCAAGAAACAAGAAAGGTCTCAAGTACACAACCTAACCCTACACCTAAAGGAGCTGGAGAAAGAACAGCAAATAAAGCCTAAACCCAGCAGGAGAAGAGAAATAATAAAGATCAGAGCAGAAATCAATGAAATAGAAACTAAAAGAACAGTAGAACAGATCAATGAAACTAGGAGCTGGTTCTTTGAAAGAATTAACAAGATTGATAAACCCCTGGCCAGACTTATCAAAAAGAGAAGAGAAATGACCCAAATCAACAAAATCATGAATGAAAGAGGAGAGATCACAACCAACACCAAAGACATACAAACAATTATAAGAACATATTATAAGCAGCTCTATGCCAGCAAATTAGATAACCTGGAAGAGATGGATGCATTCCTAGAGATGTATCAACTACCAAAACTGAACCAGGATGAAATAGAAAACCTGAACAGACCTATAACCACTAAGGAAATTGAAGCAGTCATCAAAAATCTCCCAACAAACAAAAGCCCAGGGCCAGATGGCTTCCCAGGGGAATTCTACCAAACATTTCAAGAAGAATTAATACCTATTCTTCTGAAACTGTTCCAAAAAATAGAAATGGAAGGAAAACTTCCAAACTCATTTTATGAGGCCAGCATTACCTTGATCCCCAAACCAGACAAAGACCCCATCAAAAAGGAGAATTACAGACCAATATCCCTGATGAACATGGATGCAAAAATTCTCACCAAAATACTAGCCAATAGGATCCAACAGTACATTAAAAGGATTATTCACCACAACAAAGTGGGATTTATCCCTGGGCTGCAAGGTTGGTTCAACATCCGCAAATCAATCAATGTGATACAATACATTAACAAAAGAAAGAACAAGAATCATATGATCCTCTCAATAGATGCAGAAAAAGCTTTTGACCAAGTACAGCATCCTTTCTTGATCAAAACTCTTCAGAGTATAAGGATCGAGGGTACATACCTCAATATCATAAAAGCCATGTATGAAAAACCTACAGCGAATATCATTCTCAATGGGGAAAAACTGAGAGCTTTCCCCCTAAGGTCAGGAATGCGGCAGGGATGTCCACTATCACCACTGCTATTCAACATAGTATTGGAAGTCCTAGCCACAGCAATCAGACAACAAAAAGAAATCAAAGGCATCCAAATCGGCAAAGAAGAAGTCAAACTCTGTTTGCAGATGATATGATACTTTATGTGGAAAACCCCAAAGACTCCACCCCAAAACTGCTTGAACTCATACAGGAATTCAGTAAAGTGGCAGGATATAAAATCAATGCACAGAAGTCAGTGGCATTCCTATACACCAACAACAAGACAGAAGAAAGAGAAATTAAGGAGTCGATCCCATTTACAATTGCACCCAAAACCATAAGATACCTAGGAATAAATCTAACCAAAGAGGCAAAGGATCTGTACTCAGAAAACTATAAAATACTCATGAAAGAAATTGAGGAAGACACAAAGAAATGGAAAAATGTTCCATGCTCATGGATTGGAAGAACCAATATTGTGAAGATGTCAATGCTACCTAGAGCAATCTACACATTCAATGCAATCCCCATCAAAATACCATCCACTTTTTTCAAAGAAATAGAACAAATAATCCTAAAATTTGTATGGAACCAGAAAAGACCCCGCATAGCCAAAGGAATGTTGAAAAAGAAAAGCAAAGCTGGCGGCATCACAATTCCAGACTTCCAGCTCTATTACAAAGCTGTCATCATCAAGACAGCATGGTACTGGCACAAAAACAGACACATAGATCGATGGAATAGAATAGAGAGCCCAGAAATGGACCCTCAACCCTATGGTCAACTAATCTTCGACAAAGCAGGAAAGAATGTCCAATGGAAAAAAGACAGTCTCTTCAACAAATGGTGTTGGGAAAATTGGACAGCCACATGCAGAAGAATGAAACTGGACCATTTCCTTACACCACACACAAAAATAGACTGCAAATGGTTGAAAGACCTCAATGTGAGACAGGAGTCCATCAAAATCCTAAAGGAGAACACAGGCAGCAACCTCTTTGACCTCAGCCACAGCAACTTCTTCCTAGAAACAATTTCTAACGAGGCAATGTTGTGAAACATCACATAAAAAATGGGGCAACACATGTCCTTGGCATGGGAATGGCCAGGCTTATTCCAGCCTTAGTGCATGACACTGCTCACATCATCATTGTGTCTGACTTCTGTCTTAGATGTGTGCAAGGCACCTGCAGACAAAAATAATGTCTTAAGCTCCAGGTAAGCTGGACATGTAGCATGTTCGTTAACAGCACCTGCTTTGGGAGAGTCAGACTCAGGGTCTATTGCAGCTCTATCACTTACTAGCTGTTGCCCTGGGCAAGCCAGTTAATGTCCCAGTCTCACTTTCCTCCATCTGTAAAATGTGAACAGTAATGCAGCTTTGGCTTGGCTGTGATTATTTAATGAGATAATACATTTAAGCACTGAGCTCAGGTCTGATACACCATCAGCTCAGTGGTGCTATTTTTATAGTCTAGAGCAGCACTGTCCAAATGTGAGCTACGTCTGTAATTATACATTTTCTAGTAGCCCCATTACGAGAGCAAAAGAAAGAGGTGAAATTAATGTTAATAAATTTTATTTTGCCCATGTTATCCAAAAGATTATCATGTCAATATATAATGAATATAAAATTATTAACGTGGTATTTTACATTATTCTTCATATCAAGTCTTTGAAATCTGGTAATTTATACTTCTAACACACTCAATCCAGACCATTCTCATTTCATGTGCTCAACAGCCGTACGTGGCTAGGGGCTACCATCCTGCATACAGAGCTCTAGACCTCCAATTACGTGTCCCCCAGCAGGCAGACAAGGTACATAATTCTCTCCCTCTCTAAAAATCACATTTTCCCATGACATTTTAAAATGCTTTTCTGATCTATTACTAAGTTAAATCCATATTTCTAATTGCTTTTCAGCCCTTTCTACTTTAGCCATAAGACTGCTAAAATGTTCCTGGTATACACAATATCCTAACATTTTAGTGATGCTCTGAAAACTCACCACAGCGGACTGTATAGAGAAGAAAATGATCAGATGACAATGAAAGAACTGCCAAGTAATCAGCTAAAATGGCGCAAAGGAATGAGGGGGAGGGACGGCATAAGATATATTTAAAGAGCCAAGAAAAGGACAATCTCCAGTCTGGCTAAGAACTGCTAAGAAAAAGCAGCACTAAAGTCAGCGGGGTACAAGCTGGGGGGGTGTGGGGGGGGGAGGTGCTGGGAGCACAGGCCCAAAAAGAGCAGAAGCACACAGTAGGCCTGCAGCACAGATACACCCCTGGGGAGCACCAGGTGTAACACTGCCTTGTACTATCTTGGCTTTCTCGTCAAAGGCAGAAGAAGATGAAAGATGGAGAAGTGCTATTAGAGGAAGTTGGGAAAGAATCTCAAAGTTTTTCTTTTTCTGTAGTCACAAGAGAGAATTAACTTAGTGTAAAATGTATTTTTCCAAGTGTTAAATTTAAGGGAGTAATAAACTTTTGGCATGAAATACTGATAGAACGTTCACTGCATATATTAACATACTTTTTAAATGATCATTTAATAAGATAATACAGATTTTCTAAGAGGTAGATTCAAACTCTGCAAAAAAAGAATTTAAGCAAAGAAATGAAATTACTGTCTTAAGTAGTCACAAGGAGACCACTTCAGCAGACGTGAGAACCCCAAAATCTTACAAAGTGTCTGGGCCACTGACATTAGGGGCAAGAACCCTTCAGTTCTCACTAGTCCCAAAGTTACACAACACATCAGTGTGCTCTCTTCACAGTGAATAATGGTGCCCAGAGAGGTCCAGCTCTATCTGATAAACTCTGGCTCAAGAATGCAGGGAGATGTATAAGCCAGTTAAGAAAGGTAAAAGGGCCATGCTTCAGTTTGGACATGTTACTTACTGAAGGAAAAATTCTATTTCGGGCCGTATAGAGTACTGTGAAATCCAAAAAATCTGGGTACCTACTGGTGGTGTGACTGTGCATATAATACTTAACTTCGCTGATTCTAAGTTTCTCCACCTCTAAAACAGACAATACCACTTTGCAGAAGTTTTGTGAAGATGAGACATACTGTATATAAAAGTGCTTTGCATAGTGTCTGATAAAACACGTTTTTAACAAATAGCTGTTATTGATAATAGTAATAAATGAGATATTCATATTTATTCCATATCATTATAAAGGCTTAATTGGAAAGGTTTTAAATAAAGGCAGTATGAAGTAAAGGTCACTAAACTGACTTCCTTTTTTAGTCTGTATATACCAGCATGCAAGTGAGATTCATTTTCTCCATCTCTGAAACCCTGAGTGATTTTATTTTTCCTGGCTTAATGAAAAATGAGGAGAAATTGGTCTTGAATGCCTCTGTGGGTGACCTTGAAAACTGTTTTTTTAAACAACTTAGGTATTCATCCATGACAGAATTTGTGCTGGGGGAGGGCGAAGAGCAAAGGTGGTTAATGTATGCTTTTCTACGTCTGCGTGTGTATATGCTTTAAATCTTGATGTACAAGAATTTCTCCCTCATGGTCTCAAAAGGATCTCTCAAGCAATCAGGGATTCCTTGGGTCAGGAAGAAGTACAGCTGAAAAATTAACTCACATTAAAAAAATGTGTAGTATGGAGGTGCCTGGCTGGCTCAGTCAGTAGAGCATGCGACTCTTGATGTCGGGGTCATGAGTTTGAGCCCCACGTTGGGCATAAGAGATTACTTAAAAAAAATATGTAGTATGACTTCCCCCCCACCCACAGCAGTATTTGCATTTTTTTAAAAGATTTTATTTATTCATTTGAGACACAGAGATAGAGAGAGAGAGAGCATGAGCAGGGAGAGAGGCAGAGGGAGAGGGAGAAGCAGACTCCTTGCTGAGCCAGGAGCCTGATGTGGGGCTCGATCCCAGGACCCTGGGATCATGACCTGAGCTGAAGGCAGACACTTAACCATCTGAGCCACCCAGGTGCCCCGCAGTATTTGCATTTTAAGAGGGAGTTTCCCTAAAAAAAGATAATGCAAAGAAAAATCTCTTAAAGTCTAAGAAATGTAAACATAATTGCTATAAAAATGCTCATACAATGCCTTCCTTTGCTGGTAGTAGGACACAGACCCCAGTGACAATAAGTGGGAGAGAAGCCCTTCCTTAGGACCCCTCAAATCAAACTGTACAGGTGACTTGATACTTCAGCTTAAGGTCAGTCTGGTTTCAAGTAAGAGATCTGCTTCACGGCCACACAAGTTCATGGTAAATGCTGTGCATGTGTGGGTATGTGCAGGTAAGTATAAACTTCAAGCTGATAAATTGAACTATTAGAATCTCAACAACATTTAGGGTCCATCTACCAAACTGGAACTTGCACCTGACTTGCTTCTGACTAGTGCGAACTATTAAAGCAAGCCGGGAGCCACGGTACTAACACATTCACAGAAGAGACACAGGTAAGTTTACCTTTCTTTGGCCTGGACGTCACTGGCAAGGACTCTTTTTTTTCTATTGCTGCTTCTCTTTCTTTCCATCGGCGGATCTGTTCCTCCCTCATCTTGAAGAACAGGATCTGTTTCTGTTCTTCGCTAAGCTCTGCCAGCAGATCGGGATCTATGTACATCTCTGATAGTATCTGTTTCAGCATCTTTGCAGGCCTGGAGTCTTTTACACCTGTGACAAAAGTTCTTGAAAATGGCTTCCAGGTGTGCCTCGTTGGCACGTGGACGTACCCGCAGACCTTCCCAGAGATTCGCAGCAATCCTAGTGACTGGGACGATAATTCAGCGAACTGGCTCTTGGTTCCTGGCAGCAAAGATACGGTCCAAAACGCTGTTCGTGAACCTGCAAAGGGCAACAGGCAAAAAGCTGGCAGCGTTAAAATGTAGACGCCAGGCAGGGGCAGGCTCATGAATTAAGCTTGGAGGAAATACAGTATCACTTTTCATTTCAGGTGAAAGAAGAAGAAAAGCTGAGGCATGCTTTGTTAAGAGTTTGTGTAACCCCTATCCCATAATTTCCAGACACTTTATCAACAAAACAAAACAAACCCTAACTTTTTACAGGTCAATCTCAGGGAAACAAAAAAAATTAACAGAAGTTTGGCCTTCTCCCAACTAAGCAAACGTATTATTACCTCAGAGCCTAACCACCAACTGTATGGCTGAGAAAAGAATAAAAGAAAAAAGAGGCACGGGAAGAAATTAAACGGTTCTCTCCAAACAACTTATTTCAAAAGAAAATACTGTTTTTGAGATTTCACAGAATTACCGACCCCAAACCAAACCAAAATGGGGTCATCCTCAAGGAAGGAAAAAGAAGAAATAGAAATTAGACCACAATGCAGTTTTCCCATTTCCCCTTTAGTGCTACTTCTAAGAAGGACAAGGCAATTTCCAGACAACCTACCAGAACCATAATAGTGTAGGTACAGGAGAAAACATTCGTGTACACTCTGGAAGGTCACCAGGTTTTAAATGTACCTGTTCATATATCTAATTTAATAAAATCTAAATTTACAGACCAGAAAAACTGGGGGAATGAAGAGGTAATGAGGTTTGTTACAAAGGATCCCTGCTATACAAAAGAGTTTCTTAGAGGGCTCCTTTAACAAGAAGCCACAGACTCACGCACTCACAAGTGGGTTCACAGTGGTTGGGAGAGAGGGACAATTCCACTGGGGTTTCCCTCATTTACGCATTTCTGTTTGGTTGATTTTTTTTAAGACTTTTAATTTTTTTTCAATATAACAGGATACACAAAAAAGCTTACTTCCTGCGACTTTTCAGGATCACCTATGTTTAAGAAGTTGACTAGTAATTTGGTGTGCACAATGCTCAAATAATCTCACCATCTAGCCATGCCTCTCAAATACCTTGTTTCGCCAAACTAAGTGCAAACACTCATAAACTTCAGACTATCACTTAGTCATACCTTGGCTGCTCTTAGTTCCTTCACCTTGTCATTTCCACGGGCCAGACTGTAAAGCTCCCTGGGAATCCCCTGCAGCTTCCCCTCTTCTTCTTCTTCTTCCCTGCAAAGCTGTTTCTTCACTTACACAAGCATGTTCAACAGTCAGGGTACCCCAGAATGTTTGCATACACAGCACATAGTTAAATTCTCTGTCCATTGTGTAGCTGGGACCTTTATTGAGGCTACAACTATTCTTGCTAACTGCATCCTATAATCTCCTGCAGCATTCAAACTACTGGAACTCAAATGGAAAACAATATTAAGAGAAAATTTTTAGTGGTGGCTCTGTTGGTTAAGTGTTGAACTCTTAATTTCTGCTCAGGTCATGATCTCAGGGTCATGAGATCGAGCCCCATGTGGGGCTCCACACTGAGGATGGATCCTGCTTAAGATTCTCTCTCTCCCTCTCCTGTTATCCCTCCCCATCTAAAAAAATTAAAAGAAAAAAAAAAGAAAAGTTTTAAAAACAATTAAAAGCAGTGTTTGATTCTCAGTCAGTCATGTCCCTCCCAGGCTCCCTTCCTACGTTTGTATTTTGCTTTGAAAGATGACCCTCAAAGGCTATACTAGCCAAAGAATTGACGTCCTGTAATGCTTTTTTGACTCTTGGGTCCCGACAACCTTCTTGAGGGGCAGGGCCAACTAAATCTCCACTAAATGAGAGTTTGCCAGAGGCTGAGCTCTGTCTTCACAGGAACCACAGGAAGGATTTGTTTCCTCAGCACACTTGACTCCAGTAAAAAAACCAAAGTGAATGACTCCCTGATGTTCCAGTAAATGTCCTTATGTTGGCACATTCCCTGACTCCAATGATTGGCTTTCACAGAAATAAAACATGGTAGAAAAGGAGGAACCCAGTGAAGCCTCAGGTTTTGTGTTCCGTTCCCCATTTTGAGTGGGGTGAATCTTAGCAACAGTGATGGTGTGGCCTAAAAACCGAAACCCTGAAAGTGCCAAATTCACATTGTTCCTTTTCTCCACCCCAGAGTACTCCTGACAATAAGAGCTTGCACACGCTGTGCCAGGACTACCTTAAGCACCTTGCGTGTTTTAACTCATTTTCACAATTACCCTTGGGATTCAGCCCCTCCCTATCCCTGTTTCACAGATGAAGAAGATGGAAAGTGGCAGAGCTGGGCAGTTGGCTCTAAGTCAGCTCTACTGACTCCACTAGTAGAGTAGAGCTTCTTTGTAAGCCCAGAATCAGCACATCCCAGGACATGGTACCATATGCGAAATTTCAGAATGAAGACCAGCAAATTTTTGCAGCAACATAAATGCTGACTTGAAGGTGCATGACATAATGCCTCTGAGGGGCAGAAGCCTTATCTAGGTACTGTAGATAAGCTGAGGGGAGACCAGATATCGAAAAAACCTCCCCCCACCCCCCCAGGAAGGGCAGCAGGGAACTGTCATGGTGGCCCAGGCGTGGATGTTGTTTGCCTGCTTTATTCACCGGGCACTTAGTGTTCTCAGTTTCCTCTCTCACAGCCGCTAGGAGCAGCATAAATGGTCCAGCCTCTCACAGGTGTGAAGAGTTCCATGGTACCTCTGTGATGAGATACTCAAGCTCTTTCACAGTTTTAATTTGGGTTTGTTTTGCCTTTTCTAGCAAACATGGATTTTTAGCATTAAAGTTAACTACTAGATCTTGGAGGAAAGACACTGGCTTCCCTGTGTCCTCAGAGAATACCTGGGGGCTCAGCTGGCAACTGCCTTGAGGTCAGGCAGCTGAATAATATGCATGCTATTCTTTTTTTTTTTAAAGATTTTTATTTATTTATTGAGAGAGATAGTGATAGAGAGCAAGCATGAGAGGGGGAGAGTCAGAGGGAGAAGCAGGCTCCCCGCCAAGCAGGGAGCCCGATGCGGGACTCGATCCCGGGACTCCAGGATCATGACCTGAGCCAAAGGCAGTTGCTCAAACAACTGAGCCACCCAGGCGCCCTATGCATGCTATTCTAAGGCTCTTGATTCCCAGCTGGTCTAAATTAACTCCTTCCTCCCTTACGCTCGAAGATGGAAAACTCAAACAGCACAGGGTGCTCACAGAACACCCAGCAAGGACCCCAACGTGGGCTTCTCAAGAGCTGTATGACTCCCATCCAAGAGCGGCATGACTTTCAGCTGTCATTTCACTACTCTGTTTTCTCATCTGTGAAATGAGGGCCTACCTATACATCTTTGTAATTTGAAGACTATGTCATAGAGTCTATGTGAAGTTGCACAGACAAGTGGAGCCAGGGTTGAGGAAATAGGAAGAAGGAAACTAACCAGGGTTTTTCCCACTTTCACTCCCTCACAGGACAACCACTGACATCGATTCAAACTTAGAATGACTATCCCCATCTAACAAACTGAGTGCAGCAAACTTCCAGTTATTCAAGATCCAAAAAAAGGAAAAGCTAACTCGGTTTTCTTCTTGTATAGCACCTTACTTAAAAAAAGAGAAATGACAAGCGACAAGTCCACATCTGCTATTTATTTCTAAAGGGTGATAGGATCAGTTGTTTTCCAGGATACCACAGATTTGGCCTGATTCTCATATCTTCCATAGCCCTGCTCAACAAAATAAAAGTTGTGCTTTTAATGACTCTGAGACCTTAGGGGAGGAAAAGCCTGAGATAAAGCCTAAACCATAGCAATAATGTATATGGGCAGTAAGACCTTAATATTAAGAATATAGTTTGGGGGCGCCTGGGTGGCTCAGTCAGTTAAGCAGCCCACTCTTGGCTTGGCTCAGGATCTCAAGGTGGTGGGATCCAGCCCTTACCTCTGGTTCTGCACTGACCATGGAGTCTACTTGTCCCTCTCCCTCTGCTCCTCCCCCCAACTTGCTCTCTCTCTCCCAAATAAGTAAATAAATAAATAATAAAAATCTTAAAAAAAAGAATATAGTTTGAATTCTACTTCTTTTAAAATGGCCAACCATTTTCATACTTTCAGTTATCTTATTCAACTTTACCTAATAAAGTTTATCTGCAAAAGGGCTATTTTTGAGGATAAAATGAATTTACCAGAGGTGACAGCAATTTGATAAGTTTTGTACATATATACCATTCTTCAGAAATTTGAAGTTACTGTACATACGGATTTATCTAGAAAATTCCACTCATGTACCAAATCTATGCCCACATATGCCTTTCATTTATTTATTCACTTTTTTTTTTTTTTTAAGATTTTATTTATTTATTTGACAGAGAGAGACACAGTGAGAGAGGGAACACCAGCAGGGGGAGTGGGAGAGGGAGAGGCAGGCTTCCCGTGGAGCAGGGAGCCCGATGTGGGGCTCGATCCCAGGACCCGGGGATCATGACCTGAGCTGAAGGCAGACGCGTAACGACTGAGCCACCCAGGCGCCCCTATTTATTTACTTTTAAAAGCTTCAAGTTGTTTCTGGTAAGCAGGCAATCAAAAGCCTTTTAGAGGGGTGCCTGGCTGGCTCAGTCGGTAGAGCACCCAACTCTCGATCTCCTTGTCCTGAGTTCGAGCCGACCTCGGGGTAGAGTTTACTTCAAAAAAACAAAACAAAACACCTTTTAGGAGCTGAGGAGCCTAAGTTTAGAGAGAGGTGCATTGCTTCTTTTCTGTGACCCCTGCGAAGGGAATGACAACTCAGAAGACCGACAAACTAGCATCTCCACGCCCACCCCTTCAGGCGCCCGCGTGAACCCCGAGGGCAGGGGCGGCCAGGGGTGCCCACCTGGCTGAAGAAGACCGTCGCCGGGTTGCCTGGGGCCACCGTCTGGGTCTATCTACCTTCCAGCGGGCGGGCGGCGACGCGCGGCCCTGAAGCCGAACCCCTCCCGCCCCCCCGCGGCGCCCGAACCCCACAGGGCAGCCCTGCGTGCCGGCGCGCTGGGAAACCGGTTCCCGGGCCTCTCCCAGAAGGTCTGGGGCGAGGGAGGCCCGCACGGCCCTACCCCACGTGCGTGGGAGCGCTCGTCCGCGGGTGCAGTCGCTGCGAGGGCGCAGGCGGGGGCGCCCGTCGCGGGCCGGCGGGAGGGTGGGCGTGCAGGAGCCCCGGAGGCCGGGACACACGCGAGACCCGCGGGGCGCCGGGGCTGTTCTGCTAGAGTCCAGAAGTTCTAGGCTAGCCCGACCCTCCCACGCGGCCACCGCTGGCCCGCCCCGGGCTCAGTGACGTGCGCACGCACACCCCTCAGGCACACGGAGGCCCGCCCGGCGCCCCAGAATTGCCCCCAGACCTCCCGAGTGCGCTGCGGCCTAAGCCCCCCTCGGGACTCCCCGTTACCGCGGCCACACGCCCCGGCCTCTCACCCGCCGGCGGCTCCAGACACCGAACACCGATACCGGACACCGGACACCGGCCGCCCGCCCGGGCCGCGGTGGAGGGGGCCCTCGGGAGGGGCGCGGGCCGGCCTGGGCCCAGGCGTCGCCGCGGGCCTCCCCCAATGCCCCTCACCCCCGCGCCTTCCGCGCTCCCCCTCGAGCCCCCCCCCCCCCCGACAACACACCCAGTCTTCTCGCCCTCCCGTTTCTGGCCCTCCCTCGCCCACCCCAGGCACCTACCGGTGCAGGGCCCTGCGCTCGCCTCGGAGGCTGACGAAGCAACACCACGTCCACTTGGGCCGCCAGAAGCTGTCGGGGAAGGAAGGGAGGGCAAGGCAGAGGTGCCGGCGAGCCGCACAGGCTGGCTGGACAAACACTCCGGCTGAGGTGTTGGCAAACAGTGTCCCTCAGCCCCGGCCCGCCCGCGCCGCCCCACCCGCGGCCCACATGCCGGAGTGACTGACTGGGCGCTCACGGCCCCGCCCGGGCACCTGGAGACGCTCCAGGGCCAGACGTCTGCGAGGCCGCGCGGCCTCCTGCATCCCGGCCCCGCTGTCTGACCGCACGCTGCCCCGAGCTGCCGGGGGTCTGGGGCGGCAAGGCCACTGCCCTCCACCTGCAGTCTGTGAAGGCCTGTCGCGCCATCTCGGGACCTGCGGAACTTATTAAAGTATCAGCGGGCCCGGCCCCCTCTCCACTTCAGAGCTCAAGGTTTCCTGCAAGGTGGAGCCTGCGGAGGAGGCGGGGAGGCCCTTCTCAGTTACACTGAGTCCCAGCAGGCCAAGTCAGCTCACCCCTCAGGTCTCTGGAGTTTACTTTTTTTCCTTTTTGTTGACATTAGGTAATTTATCAGACACTCAGACACTTGTCAGTACCGGTGTGGCTTTGTAGGACAGGATCAAGGAGGCAAAAGGTTGGAAAGATGGAGACTGTAAACAACAGAGAAGGAAAAATGAAAAGGGAAGAAGGTAAAGGAATCTTGTGAATTGCAGCAAGAACAGGTTGGGGTGGTGCATGAAGGGAGGAGCTGACTGAGTACGGGAAAGTTCGGCAGAAGCAGAGTAGAAACATTGGAGGGCATTTTCCGTTGTGGAGGAACATTCAGAATGTGTGCAGAAGAACAGCCTGCTTTGGGCAACCCCCAGATTGCACATGTTGGGGAGAAATGTAATAAACAGTGAGCATTGTGGGAGTGAGAGCACAATGAGAGTGAGTCCTCTCCACAGTCTACTTGATAAATTCAGGGGTCTGATTTGCTTCCTTCAAAAATGAGACTTTCTTGTTCCTAACCTCTCCAGACTGCAGAAGATACTCAAAGTTAGAAAGAGCCTTGGGGGCAGAGATGAGTCCTTGAGACCTAGCTATTTAGGAACCATTCTAGGGATCCTATCAGGGGAGAATTTCTGGTTTAGGTTTGGTTCCCACTGCTTATTAAATGAATGGCCTGTGGGTGCTTTTAGCTGGACTGTCATTTGCCCCTGGGTAGCAGCTGAAAATGAATCCTAACACTGCATGGATTGAGCAGTTGAAGAACTATAAAGGGTGGTTCATCAGCCAGTAAAATTTCCATATGACACTGGTCACAGCCAGTTACCTTCCCCCACACTCAAATTCTGTTCGTGTCCTGATAAGTCCTTCTTTATAGCAGTGCTCCCATTTTGCTACTAACCTCTCTGTACTTCAGTTTTCCCTTCTGGGTAATAACAATGAAGTTGTTGTGAGGATTAAATGAGATAATACATGTAAAGTGCTTAGAATAGTTCCTGGATGTGGTGAGTGTTCAAACACATTAGCTTATATTATTTCACATCACGTACTGTAATTTCAAGTTACAACTTCAGGCTCAGACCTTGGATTTTGCTTTCTGTGGTACCTAGACTCCAAGTTAGCCTCAGTGATCCATCCCCACCTCCTCGTATGTCACTTCTGAGATTAGGTTATGGAAGACCTGTAAACGCATGCCAGGCTGGGCCTCCAGCGCAGGTCTTTGAGGCACTACTGTGGGACCACCAGCCTCAACCTTGCAGCGCATATTGCCTGGGTGACTGCTAAATGTTCTCCAGGCAGGCAGTGGGCAGAGCTGCTGACACTGTGAGCGAAATGGGAGATGCTGAAGCAGGCAAGAAGATCTTTATTCAAAAATGTGCTCAGTGCCACACAGTGGAAAAAAGTGGAAAACACAAGACTGGTCCAAATCTCTGGGGCCTCTTTGGGTGAAAAACAGGACAAACACCAGGATTTTCTTATTCTGATGCTAACAAAAACAAAGGTGTTGTCTGGGGAGAGGAAACTGATGGAATATTTGGAAAACCCAAAGAAATATATCCCTGGTCTTTGCTGGTCTTAAAAAGAAGAGTGAGAGAGGGATGCCTGGGTGGCTCAGTCGGTTAAGCAACTGCCTTTGGCTCAGGTCATGATCCCAGGGTCCTGGGATTGAGTCCCATATCGGGCTCCTTGCTTGGCAAGGATCCTGCTTTTCCCTCTGCCTGCAGCTCCCTCTGCTTGTGCTCTGTCTCTCTCTCTCTCTCTCTCTCAAATAAATAAATAAATAAATAAATAAATAAATAAATAAATAAAATAAAAAAGAAGAGAGAGATCTTATTCACTCTTCGAAATGGGCAACATCTTCATGAAATGCTCTTGCAACTTAAAAAATACTAGTTTTTAAGCCAGAATTTTCTAATTTCAAATATTGCATGTTTAAAGAAGTCGTATTTGATCTTTCTTGATCAGCCTGTAGTAAGTTTAACATTTAAAAATAAAGGTTGAAATTAAAAAAAATAATAATTAAAAAAAAGATCTTGTAGCTTGCATTGGTGTGTGTGTGTGTGTGTGTGTGTGTCTTTCTCGGATCTTTCATTCTGAAGGAAGCCAACTGCTATGTCATGAGCAAACCTTTGGGGAGGAACTGAGGACTCTGAGCCAACAGCCACAGAATGAATTTAGAAGTGAATCCACCAGCCTTAGTCAAGCCTTTGGATGACTGCTGCATTGGCTTATGGCTTCAGTGCAAATTCATGCAACCACCTAATTAAGCCACTCTCCAATTCTTGACCTACAACATTGAGGTAGTAAATGTGTGTAAATGTGTATTAAGCTACTAAGTTTGAGGATATTTGTTACATGGCAATGGATAACTAATATACCTCCTCATTGGTCTTGTTTCTAAGCCGGTTTTAGATAGCTTTTGTGTACAGAAAATTTCATGTACTGGATAACTAATTTAATGCAGATCCAGGACCTCACTCCACACCTGGGGAATATAATGTCTGTGAGGCCCAGGCAGTAAGCACTCCAAGTAATTAGATCAAAGATGGAGTTACATACGTTTCATGCTTTCAGAAATTCTGCTCCAGGCTCTCCAGGTCAAACATTTCTGAATGCAGTTGCCAAATTAGTCTTTTTTAAACATTAACTCTAATCTTTCATATTTGGTTGCTAAAATTCTTTGATGCTCACTCCTTCTTGTCTCAAGTAAGACTAAACCTCCTGCAACTTTCAAGGACCAGGACAATCTAGCATCAATCTTCCTCAGCTTTATCATCTTCCTAATACAAACCCTGCATTCAGATAATCTGGCATTTTCCAGGCTCTTAAACCTACATAGGCTCTGCAGCTTCACATTGTGGCCTTTGTCTAAAATGTCTTGCCCCAGGGGCACCAGGGTGGCTCAGTTGGTTAAGCATCCAACTCTTGATTTCATCTTGGGTCTTGATCTCATGGTCATGAGTTCAAGCCATGCATTGGGTTCCATGCTGGGTGTGGAGCCTACTTTAATTAATTAATTAGTTAATTAATTAGCTAATTAATTAAAACATCTTGCCCTATAACTTCGCTTATAAAAATCCTACCTATTCTTCAAGGATCAATCTTTGGGAACCCTTTCCTGTCTACCCTCTCCTCAGCCAGAAGCAACCCCTGCCTCCTCTATGTTTATAGCACTTGTATCACAAGTTAGCATTTAACACATCCAAGAACCAGGTAATGAACCCTCCCTAAGTGCTGGGCGTTGTGGTGACACTGGAGGATGGCAGAGAGCAGACAGCCAGGCCTCCTGCTGCCATCCTTGGCATACATAGCTGCATGTATGTTTTATGCCTCTTTGAAATCATAAACGTCTTGATCGCAAGGAGTAATCCTATGCAGTTTGAATCTTACCCAACACCCAGGCACACAACAGGTGTTCAGTGCGTGTTAGTTGAATGGATGTTGACTGCCCAAATGAATGCCGACTGCACACAAATACTGTAATCATTCACTCAATGTGGAGCCTGGTATCTCTTCTTTTTTCTCTCCCTTTTCCCTCCCATCCTTCTTGTCCTGTGCCTCTTTCCTGTATTTGTAAGTATCTCCCTTCCCCTCCTCTTATTTCTGTAGTTCTTTTTCCATCTTTACTTTGTCCCCCTTATCCTCTAGCACCTTCCTTTTTGTTTCCTCTCTCCCATTTCCCAGTATTTTCTCTTTTAGTGGCATAATCTGCAGCAGAAAATGTATTTTTCCCTTAATTTCTTTTTTTTTTAAGCTTTTATTTATTTGACAGAGAGAGTGCACAAGCAGGGGGAGCGGCTGGTGGAGGCAGAGGGAGAAGCAGGCTCCCCACTGAGCAGGGAGCCCAATGCAGGACTCGATCCCAGGATCCTGGGATCATGACCGGAGCCAAAGGCAGACACTTAACCGACTGAGCCACCCAGGCGCCCCTCCCTTAAATTCAAAAGTAGACAATTAAAATGTTTCAGATTATTCCAAAAAACATCAAGTGGCTCTGTTATTTACTCATGAGACCCTCAATTACTTTTATCCTCCCTTTGGGCCAGTCCTCTCAATAGAAAACATTTCCCCCATTCTGTGACCTAGGATGGACTATGGGGAGGACTGCTACCCTCATGTGCTGGCAACACTCATGATAGATGGGAGGTCTGGACAACCAGGCCTTGGGAGGACACGGGTACTGAGCACCTACTGCTGGCTGGCCATTGGCAGGTCAGAGACAGGCACCATGCGTGCCCCCAGCACATGGTTCAGGAGTGCCCCAATGCCCATCAGGACCAGTGTTCCAAGAGAAAAACTAAATATCTATTTACTGTATGCTAGTTTTTTTAAATTTGTCATTTATTTGTGGTAATGGACCATGAAACAAATAGCCTACATGTTAATAGACATTAATTGATGTTCCATTTAGAATGTTGTTCAAGAACCCTGCTACTCAGGTGTGGTACTGTACCACTGGAGGGACGCCAAGCAGAGACTACAAAGTGTAAGGCACCCTTTGGAGATGCGCAACACAGAATTCCTGTTGCTGCCAGAAAGACGTTTCACTTTCCATGAGTAAAGGTCAATTTATGTTCCACAGAAATGGAAGTTACCCTCAGATATTTTCTTTGTAAAAATAAAATAGGATAAACACCAATAATATTTTTCCTGTCATATTTTG